GTGCGCCCGCCGGGGGATCCGCGCGCACGCCGGCGCCGGGCCGGGCTCCGTCGACGTGCGCGTCGTGCTGGTCGACGACCACGGGCACGACGACCGTCGCAGTGGTGGCAGTCGTGTCAACGGCGCTGCTGCTGCTGCTGCTGCTGCTGCTGCTGCTGCTCCTGTCGGTGGTAACGCCAAGGGCGCCGCCGCCGGGGTCGAGCCCAACAACACGGCCGTCGTCGACCTGGCCACCTTTGCCGCCGCCTACCACCCCTGGAGCGCCGTCTTGCATTGCAGCACCGAGGCCGGCCTGGGCGTCTTTGCCGAGTACCTGCGCCTCGCCGAGGGCAGGCAGGTGCTGCGCCAGGACCAGCTGGTCGCCGTGGACGGCGGGCTCACCATGAACGTTTCCGCGACGGCGGCGGCGGCGGCACACCCTGCAGAAGTACAAGATGACGGCAGTAGCAGCGGGCAGCACCGCCAATACCGCACCGTCTGCATCGGCGGCACCTTTGACCACCTGCACGCCGGCCACAAGCTCCTCCTCACCGGCGGCGCCCTACTGCTCGACATGCCGAGGGGGGTCGACGAGGGCCTGCCGGCTCCCCCAGACCCGCCCGCCCGCTTCATCGTGGGCATCACGGGTGACGAGCTGCTCAGGAACAAGCGGTACGCCGACCTGGTCGAGCCCTGGGACCGCCGCGCCAGGGCCGTCATCGACTTCTTGTCCACCTTGCTCGAGCTGCGGCCGGCGGGCTGGAAGTACAGGCGAGGGGGAGGCGGCGGCCGAGCGAGCTGCGGCTGCTACGGGATCGCCGAGGCGGACGGCGACTTCCGTGCCTCCTTCCGGGACGGAGCCGTCTCGGTAGAGTGCGTGCGGATACAGGACGCCTTTGGCCCCACCATAACCATGCCCGAACTCGAGTCCCTGGTCGTCTCGGCCGAGACGAGGTCTGGCGGCCAAGCTGTCAACGACAAGCGCGCCGAGCTTGGCTGGGCACCCCTGCGGATTTTCGAGGTTGATGTGCTCGATGCCGGCAGCGGCGAGGATAACGATGGGGAACAGCCCACCCCAACCAGTGGCTTTGCATCCAAGATCAGCAGCACCGCCATTCGCAAGGCCCTAGCAGAATCCCAACCGTGATCCACGTTTGGCCGGTCTCGGGGTTATCATCAACAGTTGCAAGCACCGCACAACCACGCAACAGTATCTTGAAAAGACGACATGCAGCAGTGCAGCAAACATGTACACAGCAATGCGCGTCCATCAACCTAGTCCGTTGCAAAAAGTAAATGTCTATTTCGTAGCCTCGAAACATGGATGGTGAAAGCGTGCCCATTATAGGTCCCTAGCGCTTTCCACCCAAGGCAAACCATCGCAATGCGCGCCCGCAAAAATAACCCACACCCGTCTATAATCCCGCCAGACTTTTGTACTTGACTTAAGCAAGCTCGCCAATGCCCAGGCTCTCAGCGTCCGCCTTGACGATGCGAATAGTATTGGTGTTGCCCATGCCACCCTTCCAGCCCTGAACAACAACGATGGAGTCTCCCTTGGTCAGGACTCCCAGGCCCATAGCCTTGCTGACACCCCACTTGATGCGGCGGTCAACGTCCTCCTGCCAGTTAACCTTGGAGAAGTCGGGCTTGGCCTCGGGGAAGAGGAAGGGGTAGACACCGCGGTACAGATGGCTGTACCTGGACGCAGACGCGTTGCGGGTCACCATGAAGATGGGGCAGACCGGGCGGTACTTGGACAGGAGGCGGGCAGAGTCACCTGACGTGGAGAGCACGATGATACCACCGGCGTTCAGGTCCAGCGAGGCACGAACGGCAGCCATGGCGCACGACTCGACGACGCTGACGGGGCGGTTGACAATGCCGCACATCTCCTCGAAGTGGCTGACATACGGGATAGTGTTCTCGGCCTTGAGGCAGGCCTCGCTCATCTCACGCACGGCCTCGTTGGGGTAGCTTCCCTTGGCTGTCTCGCCTGACAGCATGACGCAGTCGGAGCCGTCCGTGACAGCGTTGCCAACGTCGCTGATCTCGGCGCGGGTCGGGCGGGGGTTCTTGATCATGGACTCGAGCATCTGGGTGGCGCAAATGACGGGCTTGCCAGCCATGTTGCACAGGGCAATCATCTTCTTCTGCGCGGCAAACACCTCGGCGGCAGGAATCTCGATACCAAGATCACCACGAGCAACCATGACACCGTCAGTCTCGGCAAGAATCTCGGGGAAGTTGTTGAGACCCTGACGGTTCTCGATCTTGGCAATGATCTGGATGTGGCGGCCCTCCTCGCCGAGGACCTCACGGATGTCCTTGATGTCCTGGCCGCGGCGGATGAAGGACGCAAAGACCATGTCCACGTTGTTCTCGACGCCAAAGCGCAGGTCGTTCTTGTCCTTCTCCGACAGCGCGGGCAGGTCGACGTCGGTGTTGGGCAGGTTCACGCCCTTCCTGGAAGAGATGAAGCCATTGTTGCGGGCGCGGACGCGAACCGTCTTGTCGTCAACAACGTTGAGAACCTCGAAGGCGAGGACACCGTCATCGACGTAGATGATGCGACCCTTCTCGATGACCTTGGTGATGTTCTTGTAGTCGACGTACCTGTCGTTTGAGGTCGCGTTGCGTCAGCGGAGGAGGTGAAAGAAGCAAACAATCACGGGCGTGGCCAGATGGGCAGATGTGCAGATGGGCACGTACATGTTCTCCGTATCGCAGGCCGTGGCGTACTTCTCGTCCGTGGTGAAGTTCAGCTCGGTGCCGGCCGAGATGGGCAGGTCCTGGTCACCACTAGTGTTGCCGGTCCGGATCTCGGGGCCCTTGGTGTCGAGAGCAATGGCGACCTGGCGGCCGGGCATGGCCTTCTCGGCAGCACGGGCATTGTCGATGACGGACTGGTGGTACTCGTAGCTGCCGTGGGAGAAGTTCATGCGCACGACGTTCAGGCCGGCCTTGCGGAGCTCATTGAGGGCCTCGACCGAGTTGGTCTTGGGGCCAATGGTGCAGATGATGGAAGTCCGGCGGTAGTTCTTGGCCGGCTGCACCGCCGTGTCCAGCTGAGCCAGCCAGTTGATGCGGCCGCCGGTGTAGAGGTGGTCCAGAGCGCTGGCCATTTTGAGTAGGTATCTTTGTGCTGGATGGGTTCCTCAATGGAAAGGTGAAGAAACGAAAGAGGAGAAGCACGGAACGAAAGAAGAGAAGGACGGGTCTTGAATAAAAAGTCTCAAGATCCTGTTGGGGATGGAGCAGAAGCTATGTCGTCTAGAATGCACCAGCTTGGGCAGGAACGACCGCCTATTTTTTTTGGCGTGGAGAATGGACGTGCCAGAAAGTGCCTCAACAACCAAATAGAGCTTGTCGGTGGTCCCCTGGCGCTTGCCTCAGCGGTCCCCGTTGGAGTCGTTGGCAACGACCCTCGATCCGCAAGCTCCACGTTGACCCCTCCTTTCCCAACACGGTAGGTGGGCAGCCCTTTGAGCCATGCGTGGTGGGGGTCGCCCGGCCAGCCACTTGGGGGGG